GAATATCTGACACCTCTATGCTTAAAAGGATTAAGCACTTTTGTGCTGCAATAGAATATGTGGCACCTCTGTGCTTAAAAAGGGTTGAGTACCTCTATATTTCAACCTATGGTTTGGCACCTCTTTGCATAAACCAACTACTGAGCACCTCTATGCTACAGTTAAAAGTAAACACTTTTGTGTTTTTATATAAAAAGGGTCACGCATCTCTGTGCTCTGATTTCACGTGTCACAGACTTTGCCTAGTTAGTTCGGTTACGAATTCGTGCATCACGTAAAAGGAACTCTTTACCCGTCAAGTCAGCCTTAATCTTAATTATCTGTTCAACACAAACACACTTTCGCATTAGATCATTGCCACGCCCAAGGCTCTCAAGCCAAGAGTCGAGCTTGTGGGGCATAACTGATGCCCACACCCGACCTTAGACTTTTCCGAGAAAAAAAATATGTTTTATTAAGTAAAACATCGGGTATCAGAAGACTCACTCACACCATCGATTAGGTCATATGGGCGGCTCTCGATGGTGTTAAACAGACACATACCTTTACCTATGGAATAGCCTAAACTCTACCGGCTATCCATCCCTACATATATGCGATAATAAAATAACATAAACGCCACGAGTAGTTATTAAAACGCTCGAACTAGGGAAATTAACTTCACCCAAGCTCTCTACCTAAAAACACTGAATTGGCCGAAAAGAGAAAAACTTCCGCCAATGAGCCCTATACAACGTTAGCCTTGACAATCCTACCCTGTAGTGGCCTTAGGAAGGAGATGGCCACGACACAAAGCTCACTTCAAATTCAAGATTCTCTTGTTGGCCTAAATTTGAACAGAAGAAGCCTATCCAGTGTTCCCTCTAAAAAAACCAAGAATGTGAGCCGAGATAGGAAAGCCGAACAAGTGCTTGCTAAAATGCTTACAAGAAACTTCGTTTCTCAAACACTACTCCGGAGATCTGCAAGATTTCTCAATAAAAAAAACGCCCATAAAACCACAAGGTTTTAATACCCGTATTTTCGAGAAGCTGATAACAACAAGCAATGGTTCAACGAGTGGTGAGAATCCGAAGCCTGTTTTGCGAAGATCCCCGAGATTCAGCAGTGCATCGAGTAAGCTTTCAGAAAACTTTATGAATCCAACGATATAAATTTATCCTCTAATTATTTTTGTATAATTTATGATGATTTTCTAAACTTACTGTCCAGAACATAAATTCTAAGCAGATTTCACCAATTTGAATTTTTAACTTGTTCACTAATTCTATTAGCTCACCAAATGTACATATATGCATGCATAAAAAATAACATAACATTTTAGTCGTTACTCCTTACCATAGTAACTTCGTCACTTGCTCATCGTAAGCTATTGTTTGCTCGATAACATAAGTACAAACTAAATTTGTACTCACCTGGTGTCCTTAGCTTGCAACATTCCCTAGAATTTCTCATTTCATCCTTAAGATTCTCCTTAACTTTAATAATATTTGATCTTGATTTCAAGCATTCAATCTTGTTTATGGGGAGCACGAAATGTTGGCTGAAAATTTCTAAGTTTTCATGAAATTTCTAATAAATTTCATGTTAATTTGGCCTTAATTTAAGCTTAAATGAATTAACAATTCATTTAATGCGAAATGTCCATTTTACCATTAATGAAACTTGATATTTATCATAATACCAAGTCACATAACCCTTATCATCTTTCAAAGTCAAAGATGGAGAAAAATATTTCATCCTTTACAACTTTGCCAATGCAATCTTTCCCAAATTTCAAACTTGTCATTTTTCATCCGAAGGTCCAAATTGAACATGAAATTTTTTTTCTTAAATCCAACGGTCCATATTATTTCCCATCATTTTAACATGTGGAAATAATATTTCTAAGCTTAATTTATCATCATTCAATTTTTCTCAAAATTTCTATTCGATCCGATGTATTGAATTTTTTACAGGACTTTAACACTTTCTAGTTGTTAACACAATTTCCATATCAAAAATTTGATTTCAATAAAACCCCAATCTCAAGAGTAAACTATCCATTTATAAAACAAAAATTCTTTTTGGAAAATTATCACTTAGGTCCTTAAAATTTTCTTAATTTTCTACTTTGACCATCAAACTTTTAAAATTTACATTTTGGTCATTAACCAAAATTTTAGGGTATTACAAAGTATCTATGGTACCCACCATCGATGTTTTCTCACATTATGCTTTTGAGACATAGCAGTTAGATGATGTGTCAGTCTATCTAATGCATTTCATGCTCTCGTGATTTTTAGACGCCATATTTATGGCCTTCAAAAAATTATCTCAGTGTTCCAATTCCCAGTCGAAGAGTCTTCTACGTCGTTGTATATTCCATACCCACTGGACCGATGCTAAATCACCAAACTCACAAACCTTACCTTCTTTTTTAACCGCGAGGGCATATACTCGGGGAAAATAAACCATTAAAGATTAGAGGTCAGTCCATGGGTCTTGCCAAAAATCAATTGACCTTTCATCTCCCAATAAAACATGAACATTTTGAGCAAACAAGTCATCAGGCTCTTGCAGTGGATATATAATACTCTTCCAAATCCAAGAGGCATTTCTCACCGGGGTCGAGGTGGGAATTAAGCTCCTTGAAATGGACCCTAACTTTACGTCCATAACTAGGGATGTAAAATTGTGTAATCGTTCAGGTTTCAGTCGGATCCTGTCAGGTCGGGTAAAATCGGATACAGGTCAAGTCAGGTAAATTTGATGCTTCGACTCGAATCAGGTCGGGTCTAGGTCAAATCAGGCCGGGTCATTTTCAGGTTGATTTGACACCAGGTATAGTTCGGGTTCAGGTCGGATTACTTTCAGTTCGGATCGATGTCAGTTCAGGTCAAAACAGTTCAGGTCCGGAGCATATAAAGACTAGGTTAATTCAAGTTCGGATGGACTTCAGGCAGATCTCGTTTAGATCGGGTGACATCATTGGCAGATAAAATTCAGGTCGAATCTTTAATCAAATACGGATTGAGTTCAAATCGAGTCAATTTTTATTTTTGGATTAATTATTTTCTTCTTTCGCAAACGTTGAATTGTAATTTCTAATTATATACAATTTAGAGAAAATTACTAAGAATATAAATAATCATGGATCAATTTTATGAAAAAAAAATAATAAATTAAGGACTAAATTGAACAAATATGAAACTACAAGTAAAAATATAAATAAATTAAACAACACACATTGATGAAGGACTAAATCGAAATAATTTTAAAATATGAGGTTAAAATTAATATAAAAAGTATTAAATTATACCCATTTAAAAAGTTATGAGCCAATTAAAAAATATAAATAAGTAATAAGTATGGGTTGATTTCATGTGAAAATATAATTTTAAGGACTAAATTGAATAAATATGAAATTACAGATAAAAATTTAAATAAATTAAACAACACAAAGGGATTAAATCGAAATAATTATAAAATATGAAGAAAATCTATAAAATAGACTAAATTGCATTCATTTCAAAAGTTAAGAAAAAATTGAAACAATTATATATATATATATATATATATATATATATATATATATATATTATGTATAAACTATATAGTGTATATATAAAGTGTATATATAAACTATATATATAAATTTTATAGTTTATATTTATATTATTATATACTTTATATAAACTATATAATTTATTAATGTAAATTATACAGTTAATATATAAATTATATATGAATCATATTTAAATATATACAACTTATATTTATATATTATATATTATATATAATTATAAATTATATATACTATGTATAAATTGTATTGTTTATTAATATAAACTATATATAAACTATAAATTATATATACTATGTATAAATTATATAATTTATATAGTTTAAATATAAAGTATATAAAGTATATAAGTATATATTAAATTGCATTCATTTAAAAAATTGAAAAAAATTATAATATATATATAATATAAGTTTATATATAAACTATATATATAAACTATATTTATATAATAAACTATATAATTATTATAAGCTATATATATAAATTATGTTTATATGAACTATATAGATAAACTATATATGTATAAACTATAGAAAGTATATAGTTTATAAAATATAATTTATATTTATATAGTGTATATATATATGTGTGTATATAAACTATATATGTATAAACTATATAAAATATATAGTTTATAAATTATAATTTATATTAATATAGTATATATATGTATGTATAACTAATATAAGTAATCTATAGAATATATATATATATATATATATATATATATAGTTTATAGAAACACTATGCATAAACTATATAAAATAATAAGGTATATATTTTATAAAAACCCTAAACCCTAAACCCTAAACCATAAGCCATAAGCCCTAAACACTATGCATAAACAATAGGTAATATATGTAACCTATAGTATATGTATACATGTAAACTATATATGTAACTTATAATACATGTATGTATAAATTATGTATAGTATATATAAGCTATATATATAACTTATAGTATATGTATATATACAATCTATTTATATGTTATATAAACTATATATGTAACCTATAGTTTATAAACAATAGTTTATATTAGTGTACTATATAGTTTATACTTTATAACCTATAGTATATAATTTATAAACTATAGTTTATATTAATGTAGTATATAGTTTATATTAATGTTAATTACATTAACTATAATTTATATTAATATAATATATTGTTTATAAACTATACTATATTAATATTAATTATATTAACTATAGTTCAAAAACTATACTATATAATTTATAACATATAGTTTATATTAATATTAACTTTATAGACTATATTTTATATTAATATTAATTACAAATTATAAAATATATTATTATAATTATTTTAATATTAATTATAAATAGTTTATTAATGTAAATTTTTTAGGGATAAGATTGAAAACTGGCGCTAAAAGTAGCCATTTTCTGCATCTCTTCCCGGCCAAATCCTCTCTCCTTTATTTTCGATCTCTCTTCATCCCCGCTCAGCATCCAAAACCTCTTCCTTTTATCTCATTTTCCCTCTTTCATTGTTGTTTCTGTTTGCCTAGTTGTCTAGTTGTTCAATTAATAAATTTTGTTACTACCATTGTTATCTTCTATGCTTTCTGCTTCTGTTTTCAAACTCTCAGAGCTCGTGTGACTACCAAGGTTGAAGAAAATAAATGGAAGTTGTCGGGGTTCTTCGATAAGGAAGTTTACGATATCCTCAACAGAGTCGCCACCGCCACCGAAAACCCTTCCTCGATCATGGCTCCAGATTTGGCTTCGGCTTTGACTCCTACTCTCGCGGTGCAGGACGTGGTGGAGTATACCGAGACTGTTTTTGATAGTGGAAGGAGCGCGGTAGCTGAGGACGGGCTGTTTTCGGACTTCGAACAGGACGACGGTGGGGGGAGCTTGGAAAAGGTGGAGCCCGCACTTGACGCCGACACTGAAAAGGCTTTTCCAGCTCCTATCCCTCTATTAGGTAATCAAATTCTCATACCACATACAAATACTACTATACTAGTATTGATCACTAGCAATTGTTAATTAGTGATTAACCTTTGAATCATTGGTTGATTCTGTTTGCTTTTGTTTCTTCATATTTTATGATGATTTGATTGGATTTCTAAATTCTAAAATAGGTTTTCTTTAAGAGAAAGAACTTTGCTTTAATGGAGGTGTTTGAGCACTGTTGGCAACTCTTTTTAGCCTTTTTCTATATGTTCTTTATAGCAGGAATCTTTAACTTTTTATGAGGAGGAAGGGTAGGGTTCTTCGGAAATCGAATCGATTGTAAACAAATGTCAACTAAAAATTTGATACAAGTGTATGAATCTACTCAATTTGATTCGAAAACAGTTGACTCAATACGATCACCAGATATCGAAATCTTTGTCATGAGGGAATAGGAGTATGAAACTCAATATGATTATCCGATATCCTATATCGAAATCTTCAGGGAATAGAAGTATGAAACTCAATATTGATTTAACAATAGGTATTAATGTTCTATTTTGGCTTTGAATATGAGAGTCTCTAGTTATTTTCAGCCGGTTATTTAGTGGATCAAATGGCAAATATCTTACGCTATGAATATGTGCTCTTTTTTGTTATGCCGGTTACACAGGGCATGTGGATGGAAAGCCGAGTGATGCCCATTTCTATCATCCCAAAGGTGTAACCATGGATGATAAGGGAAATGTATACGTTGTTGATATCATGAATCTTGCTATTAGAAAGATAAGAGATGCAGGTATAGACCGATAATGATAAAGAGTAGATTTAAAAGAAAAAAACCTTGATTATTAAGTTGAGTTTTCTTCATAAAATTTCTGTGCAGACTTTAAAATAACTTAGCTATCGAAGCAACTCTAAGCATTGTTGATTGAAATCCTTGATTGTCAATTTACAGTATGGAGAAAAGATAATGGAGTTCAAAGTTGAGAGGACCCATTGTAGATTAGTTTCTAACGTAAAAAGATGGTTTGACTTGGAATTATTTGCAGGTGTCACAACTATTGCTGGAGGAAAGTTGAATGTTTCAGGATATAGGGATGGGCCTAGTGAGGATGCAAAGTTCTCGAATGATTTTGGTGTGGTATATGTTCGACCGACTTGTTCCTTGTTACTTGTTAGTTATCGATAGAGGAAATGTTGCTCTATTTATGAACTAGCTTAGAGTTGATATGTGCTCTATTTATGTCAACTACTAGTAACATTATCATCTAAATAACAGTTGCCATTATGAAAACTTAGGAATTTTTCTTATAAATTTTGATACGAAAATAGTTTATGCGGAATGCATAAGAAACATAATTTCGCTTTTCAGTCTTACCTGTGAAATAAGGTCATTCCATTTCTTCAGAAAAATGAAGTCCTATTATTTTATTAATATGTAAATTTTTGAATGACTATTAAGGCTGATATTAAATACGCAGGAAAAAAAGTATAAAAACAGTTTTAGAACTAAACTTTATTCAAACAAAAATGAAGGGATTACTTTTTATTAGTTATTCTTTGGCTAAATATTCTTGATGCTTGCTGCTTCATTTCAGGTCTAGCATCAGAGATAGTGGCATTGGAATGATCTGCAATGTTTTCCCAAACACATTGTCAAGACTCCTCCTTGCTCTTTGTCCCAACATAACTTCAAGTAATCATCGTGTCTAAGACTCACACATACGTCTTGTGCATACCTGCATTTATCCTGTAAATGCCCTATTCTTCTTTAAACCTATTCACTAACATGTTTCTCTGCATTTCTCAGGTGGAATTCAGTTTTTCACGGCTCAACCACCTCTTCTTGAACTTATGGATTGTGGGATGACAATATGCGATCCTGATTCTCAGAATCCACCTTCTATCAAAATTCTGACAGTGAAGTTCCAAATGTATTGAACAATAAAATGCACCTTATGTACCAAAAGCTTATCATCAAACACAACCGACTAAATAAACTCAGCTTATGGGGTTGTTCTGGCTTAGATGTGATCTCATATAGTCCTTAATCTCGAGTATGTTTCTAGTTGCTTCTCAATATCCTATGTGGTTCTTATTTGTTGAATCTCAAAGTAGGCTTTATGTTTGAATTGTAAGGGTTTGGTAAATCGGAAATGTTTGGCACTGTTGGTCATCGAATTTCCTTTGGCTTCACCACTGATTGTATGCTTTCTTAATGCAAGATGCTTGCAGAATTGATGCAATGATGCTTGCTGAATTGGTACATTGATGCTTGCCGGTTGGTGCTGTCTATTACTTACTAATGCCTTGTAAATTATTGTTGTTGGTCTGACTTAAATCAATTTTTTAACCTTATAAATTCTTATCTAAATGGTTACTCATGGGGAATTATGTTGTGGCATTTTGGCTTTTAAAGCTAGAAAATTGCCCATAATTAAACATGTTGGCAGCATTTAGGTATAAAGGCTCGATGATGATATTTTTGGTAGTATAGTTAGGCTTTTAACCTTGTAAAACCTTAAATATAAGATCTGAGAGCATTTATTCCAACATAAATTTATTTTGTTTAGTTGATTTTATTGTAATTTTAGTGTTTGCAAGTGTAATAAAATTAACTTCATTTATAATTTTTTTGTTTTAGTATTTGTAATGTTATTCAAGTTTCAAATCTTTAATACGTTCATCATTTCAACTAATATCTTTTTATTTTAAAATTTCAAATTAAGTTATACTTAAATTATTAATCAATTTTCACATTAAAAGTAAATTAGATTTATGAATATTTTAACACAATTTATATAATTTAATAAAATCATATTCAATAAGATGATATTTAAATTTAATTTAGTGATTATAAATAAAATTTATAATATAAGAATTATAAATAATATAAAGAATTTGAATTAATATAAAAATCAAATTTATAATATACAAATTATAATATAAGAATTATAAAAATATAAAGAATTGTAATTAATATAAAAAATAAATTTAATTATCATAAGTTTATTATAAATTTAAAATAACATAATTATATTAATTGTAATTTATTACTTATAAGTCAGGATAATATTAGATCACTTTAACAACATGTCAAATCATTTACAGGTTGAGTCAATTACAGGTCAGGTTCATAACAGGCCAGGTTGAAAAATGTAGTGTAATACCAGTTATTTACCAGGTAAATCTCGGGTTCGGGTTCATATCATTCGGATGCAGTTCGGGTTCATATCATTCGGATGCAGTTCGGGTTCAGGTATCATATTTTCGGTTCAATTCGGGTTCAGGTCGTTCTCAGGTCGGGTGCAGTCGGGTTTAGATCCACAATTTCCAGGTCTAACTCGGGTTCAGTTAAACACCAGTTCCGACTCGAGTTGGTTTCAGATCGCCACAGCGCAGGTCAAAAATAGTTTTGACTCGAGTCGGTTTCAGTCAGTTTTACAGGTTGAGTCAGCTTTTTACACCCCTATCCATAACCCTCCTCCAATAGCAGTTGGACTCTGACATGTATCTCCAAATCCACTTAATAATGAGGGAGGGATTACAAAGTTTAACATCAAATAGACTGAGGCCCCATAATATTTCAACTTAGTCATACTCTTCCAACTTACCCAATGGATCGAACGGTTAGACTCATAACCCCAAATGAAATTTGTTGCCAACTTGTTCAAACTTAGAGGCAATTGATGTCCGTAATTTGAATAAATACATGCAGTACACCAGTAAGTTAGCAAAAATTGATTTTACCAACGTCAAGCGACCCCCAAACAAAAATTATTTTCCCTTTCCACCCCTCAAGCCTAGCGTAAAATTTCTCAATGATCGACCGCGATATTACTTTAAAGTTTCGACTATAACCCAGAGGTAACCCAGGGTACTGTGTCGGAGGGGATTCTGCATTAAATTTTATCAAACCAGCCCAACATGACAATATACTATTAGCAACATTAATACCATATAGTTTAGATTTCATCAAATTAAGCTTCAGACTCGATGCTACTTTGAAGATTCTCATCACTCTTTTGGTGTTTACTATCGCAAGCTCTGATGCCTCTAGAAACAAGATGAGGTCGTCTGTAAACTGTAAATGAGATATTACTACTTTATCATATCCAATTGACTTTTCCTTTAGAAAATTTGCTTGAATCACTTTGCTAATGAGAACTCTAAGAGCTTCCCCCACTAGGGTGAATAAGAAGGGAGATAAGGAGCAGCCTTGACGGAGAACCCTTTTAATATTGAACATATCCGAGGAAGTTCCGTTCACTAACACTGAAATTGATATTATTGTCACGCATAAATGTACCCATATGTGCTATTTTGAACGAAAAACCATATTGATGAGGATTTGATCCAAAAACCACCAATTAACAGTGTCGTATGCCTTTTTAAAATCTTCTTTGAACATGAAAACTTCTCTTCTTGTTCGCCTCAGAAAATCTATGGTCTCGTTTGCAATAAGGACACAATTTGATATTTGTCTATTCACGATGAAGGCGAACTGATTTTCTCCGACGACCTCTGAGATGCAGCCCGCCTATCTTCTTGATAAGATCCGTGCTAGAATTTTATAACTACTCCACGAGACTAATTGGCCTAAATTCATCAATTGACTCTGCAGAAGCCATATTCGGTACAAGATTTATGAAATTCCAAAATTTCTTCAAAAATCCCATGTTAAAACCATCGGGACAAGGGCATGAGATCCATCCGCTAAACTGATCGCTTTTCACACTTCCTTTTCTTGAAATGTTCTTTAAAGCATTGGCTGAATCTTCGCTCAACCTTTTAAAGTTTCCCACAAGATTCTTTACTAGGATTGTGACCGACTCATTATAAGCGTTGAATCATGTTTTATAATATTTTGATATAACAAATTAAAGAAAAATGTTTTTGGACTTAATTGAATTTGTTCAAAGTTTTCAAAAATAATTCAAAGTCCAATAAACTAAAATTTGAGAACAAAACTGATTTTGAAAGTACGAAGTGCATATATTGTTCTTATAATATCCATACTATATGAACAATGTCGATATTGTTCATGATGTATCGTTACCAATGGTAAGAGAAGTATCGATACTCTCAAGGTAGTATCGATACTACCAGCTTGCTCTAATTCCATAATGTAAAATAGGTACCGATACTCAAAAGAGTATCGATACTACTTTACATAGTAATATCGATACCATCATCATAGTATCGATAATCGCCAGGCTCGACGGCTAGTTTTATTTAAAAATAACAAAGAAAGTATCGATACCCATAAAAGGAGTACCGATACTCCTTGTCCTGGACAGTTTTATTTTGTAGAGATTTTATTCCCAACGACTCCAAATCACTCCCAACGGCTAGAAACAACCACAAACACATTCCAACATATAAAAATAAGTTGAGGACACTTGAAGAAGGGTTAGAACACCTACCCAAGTAATCAAACACAAGGGAAGATCTTTTCACTCTTGTAAATAGTTTTGCTTTTGTGAGCTTCAATTTGTAAACAGCTATCTTTTAAGGATTTTCTTGTTTACATCTCTTTTTTTTTTAAAGGGGTTTGGTTCTAGTTTAGCCAATTGAAAAACTAGGGAGTTGTAAAGATTACTCTTGATTCTTGAAAAAGAAAGAACAAATTAGTGGATTTGTTGGAAAATCTTAAGTGATGAGCTTAGGTAGTGGATGTAGACTTAGTTAAGAGGTCGAACCACTATAAATTCTTGTGCAAATTGTTTATCTTTTCATACTCCTTACTCCCTAATCTCAAAAAGGTTATTCACCCCTCTTGGCAAATAATTCGATTGTTCAATTGAGCTTCACCGATTATCCCAACAATTGATATCAGAGATTAACTCATTATAAGGCTTAACAACCTTGAGACGATTCTTGAAGAAGCTCTATCCATTTTCGACACAATCGAGAAGATGGCTTCCACTCCGACTTGTTCCACATGGAAGACTACCAACAGATCAACAAGCCTCCATAATTCAATGGAGTCAACTACCGTTATTGGAAGAAATTAATGAAGTTATGCATCAAATCCAATGATCTTGATGTATGGAAGATGATCGAGAACGTCTACTCTTCTCCATAGAAGAAGATGAAGGAGTGAAGTGCCCAAGAACGGAAGAAAGCTAAAAAAAATGCTAAGGCCATGCACATGGTGTTTTGTGCATTTGGTCCCGATACTTATAAATGAGTTTCTTCTTGTTCAAATACCAAGGAGATTTGGAATAAGCTCGATGAACTTCATGGAAACGAGAAAGAAAAACCAACAAATGTGGTGTCCTTAAATGCTCGTGAAGAGCCCAATGTATCTTCTAACTCAAATGAATTAAATTCATATCCTTTTAATAAGTTACAAGTTGCCTATGATGAATTATATTTGAAATTTGAGACCATGAATTCCAAATATAAGAAATTAATTTCAAAATTGAAAATAATTTTCTTTTGAAAGCAAAATTGGATTTTGAAAAGCAAAATGAAATTTTGAAAAATGATTTTGAGTTTTCAAAAATCAAAATCAATGATTTGGAAAAAGAAAATATTGATTTTAAAGTTAAGCTTAAAAGCTTAACAAAAGAAAAAGAATTAATTTCTCAAACCAATTCATCATATTTAAAAATGGCAAATTGTTCACATTGTCATTTTCATTGTCATTTGGAACATACTTGTCCCATAAAGAAAAGAAAATCTTTTAAAATTAGCAAAGTATGGGTTCTTAAGGGAACAAGGGGCATTGAAACTAATGTTCAAGGATCCAAAGCAATTTGGATACCAAAGTCCAAATGAATGTATCTTGTAGGTGTGTGGGAGCAATGGAGACAAAGTGAAGAAATTGAGATGCTTTAGTCACACGTGAAAAGGAATGGGTAACCTCTAAGCTTAATGTTTTTTGTCTTGGCTAATTAGTTGCCTATTGATTTTTTATGCATGCATGAGTTTTGATCTTAAATAATTTTATATTTTCTATCTCATGTATGTTGAAAAGTGTATTATGATGGACATTTTAAAGTTTTAATGATTTTTCATAATTTTTAGTTCATCATAATTAATTTTGGTCAAAATGGTTTT